GGGTTCTCCCGTCTGGCAGAGGAGGAATGGGGCGCAGTGCACTTCTAACTGTGTTGCGCATCTTTTCTTATTTTTAATGGGCCATTTGCTTCCTTGCTGTGGGCCGTGTAGATACGTCTCTGTTGGTGGCATCGTGTCCAGCCTCTGGGCGGGGGGTGTCCTCGAAGCCTGCTGGTCCCGGTGGGGGGAAAGGACATGAGGACTCTGAGCGCAATGTTTCTCAGGGGGCCTGAGGCACCACCTGCCTCAGTTTCTCCTGGGCGCTGGGTAGACCTGCCACTTCCTGAGCCCACCCTAGACTCTGGCAAACCAGCCAAGCTGGAGGCCTGCTGCGCTGGCAGGGGAGGTGGGCGCAGTCCCTCGCCGGGTGGGGGCACTCGCTCCTTTCAAGGGCAGACTCGCCCTTCTCCTGCTCGGCGACTGCTGGGCCTTGGGGTTCAATTGAGAGCAGGTATGGGAGCAGCAGGCACCGCTCTCTCGGCCGCCCTCTCTCCACACCAGCCCCCAGCCCGGTCCCCGAGAGAGCAGGACCTCCGAGTTTCTGTCAGGCAGCCTCAGTGGGGCAGGGGGAGCCCCTGCAGGTCCCTGAGCAGGGGAGGGGCACTCTGGCAGGAGGGGCTGTGGAGAGGGCTCCTGGGCTGGCTGCTGCTCTAGGAAGGCAGGTCCTGGAGTGGCCTGGGGAGGAAGGGGACAGGCCGGGAGGCAGGGGTGGGGACAGTAACCTGCGTGGGAGTGACAGCCACCCGGCTCCCGGGCTGCCAGAGGGTTCCCAGGGGCTTCTGGAAGCAGCCACGGCCCCAGGGGCAGGAGCGGGAGCTGGGGTGAATGGGCCAGGATGTGGCCGGGGCTTGAGGTCCAGGTCGGGAGCATCCGCCCCCGGCCTGAGGGAGCCCCCTCGCCCTGCGGAGGGCCTGGGCCCGGAGGCACCTGCGCGCTGGGCTGAAGGGGCCCCAGGAGGAGGGAGGCCGCCCCTGGTGTCCAGGGCAGAGCCCAGCAGGCAGCAACCGAGGCACCTGTCGGGGCGCGGGCACCGGAGGGCAGGGGAGGCGCAGGGTGCCTCGGGGTGCCGCACTCGGCCCGCAGTCCCCCTGGTGACCCCTCACAACCCCTCGGGGGCGCACGCTGCCTCCCCCACCTGCGCGCTGGGCTGGGAGGGGCGCGGGCGGGGCTGCGGGGCGCACAGCGGGGAGGCTGAGCCCAGGGCAGGGGCGGCGCTTCCCTTGGCCCTGGCTGTGTTCCGGGCGCCTTGTCTGCCTCCCTCCAGAACAGCCCGAGCGAGGCGGGGGTCCCATAGGGGCGGAGAAGCTGGGCCTCCAGGGGCACTGCGAGGTCTCCGCGATCGAGGTGCCCCACGGGGGGCGGTGTCAGCTGAGAGAGGTGGCCCTGCAGGGCGGGGCCTGAAGATGTCCCCAGCAGTTTCTGCAAGGGGGCGGGGCTGAAGAGCCCTGGCACAGGGCCAGGTCCCGGCCAGGGGCAGGGAGCTCGCTGGCAGCTGGGGGTCTGGACTCTGCCCCTCGCCTGCCCCCGGGCTCCTTGGAGGTGGCAACACGGGCCGCTCCCCACCTGGGCACACGCCCCTCCCCACCTTGGGCTCCCTACCCCCCCCAAACCCAGCCACGCCCTGTGGCCCTGTGTCCTCTGGCTGCCATGGTAATGGGGGGTGGGGTGCTCGGGGCCAACTTTGTGCAGGAAGTGGAGCCTCTTGACGTGGGATGTCCCCTCTGGGCCACCTGGGGCAGGTCCCACAGGGGATGAGGGGCCCCCGGGGCAAAACTGCTGGTCTTCCTGCAGCCAGGCCCAGGGTCCTCGTCTGCCCACACCAGGGATGGACTTTGCTGTGCTCAGACCCCTCCTCAGCCCACACCAAGGTCTCCATTTCATAAACTTTTCTTTACGGAAAATTTCAGATACACACAGAAGCGGGGATCTGGGACAGAGGACTGTGTCTTCGTCACACCTCTGACAGGATCACCCCGGCCACACCTGCGTCATCCGGCACCTCCCGCCCCCACCGGGACCCTTCCAGGGGATTCGGACACTCGGGACGTGTCTCTGGCAGACGGGGTGTTGTGAGGCCCAGCCACGGCCCGTCAGGCAGCCAGAGACACGGAGCTGATTCTGTGACTCGTCGCCCCAGCTGCCCAGCCTTCCCGGGCGGCTCTTGCTGTTGGGGCCCAAATGAGGCTCCAAAGCGTCCAGCTGCCACCTTGGCACCTCTGTCCCTCGCCGTGTCTTCGCTCGCTGACTCCACAGAGGTGGGACGTGGCTCCTCCTGGGGCTCGGAGGCTGGAGGGCAGAGCCCAGGGCTCCAGGCTCCGTGGAGCTCCAGGGAGGGGCCATGCCCAGAGCGAGCGAGAGGGTGGCGTGGCCGTGGCTGCGGGAGGTTGGAAACAGCTAGAGCGGGAGAGGGAGGGGCAGCCCCAGGAAGGGGTGCAGGGGGTGCAGAGAAACCGACACTTGCCCCTAGTGGCGTCCCCTCCCCTGCACCCATCTTGTGACCGCCCCATCTCCGGCACCCTGCCGGCCGCACCGCCCCCACCCAGCACAGTGACAGAGACGGCAGAGGCGGGAGGGCGTCCTGCTTTAGGGCGGGTGTTTCCCAGCAGGACGTGCACTCCCAGGCCTGGGTCTGTGACAAGGGGAACAGAAAGTGCCGTGGGGGGTGAGGAGGTGGATTCGTGTCCTTGTGTCCTCGCTGCGCGGCTCTCAGCTGAGCAGCGCCTGGGCGCAGAGGCCCCGCCGGGGCTGCCCCCACTCCTGGGTGGGCAAGTGAGGCTCTGGCCTTGGGCACAGCACTTAAGGGGGCACCGGAAAAACAGTCATCAAGACAAAACAGTAATGCGATAATCTTACATCAAAACTGATGCAAAAACTCCCAAGGTGTCAGCATCTTAGCCTCCTTCGGGGTGACCGGCCCTCTGGTGCTCTTCCCTCAGGGAGTTCATCCACTGAGATCAGTCTGCAGGGACGGCCCCAGGACGCGGCCTCCGCCAGACCCCAGCAGGTAGGAGGGGCGGGCGGGGGCAGGCTGCCCAGCGGGCAGAGGCCCGGCCTGGCCTGGAAACTGAGACCTGCCCAGCAGCGCCCAGGCCTCTCGGACCCCCAGGGACCCGGGGCAGTAGAGGGACCCAGGCAGGCCCGAGCCCCATCCCCCCCCAGGCCGGCCTTAGCTGGGCCACTGACATTTACTGAGCACCTGCTGTGTTCCCTGGCCAAGGTGCCCCGTGGCGTCCACCACCCTTTGTGGGGTCTGCGCTGGGCCAGGCTCCTGCTGTGGGAGCAGGTGGTGCCCTACAAGCGCCCTCTTAATATGCAGAAAGTTATTTTTTTCTCTCCTTATAATTTTTTTTTCCTATTTTCTTGCAACCATCCTCATTTGCCAGCAAAGAGCTATTTTAGTCAGTGAGAAGTTCCGTGGTAAAAATCAAAGGGGCGAGGTGTGGAAACTGGGTCGAGGGTGCGGTCGTGGGGAGGGAGGGGGGCGGGAGGGCAGAGCGCAGGGCAGCATTTCGTGGCCCCCGGGGCACCACTCTAGGTGGGGGAGGGCCTGAGGGGCAGGCAGAGGGGGGTTGAGGAGAGCCACCCCCTCATCCCCTGGCAGAGACAGCGGGTCTCCACGTGCTCAGTTTCTTCTGGAACCCACCGAGTCCCCTGGCCCCTGCCAGAAGGGGGCTTCTTCCATGTCAGGGGGCCGGGCCTGGTGGGGACGGCCTGCCCTTCAGGCCTCTGCTAGGGAGGAGTTGGCGGGGGCAGCGTCCCGTTGAAGGGTGACAGTGTCTTCGGGAGGGCTTGGGCTGGCCTAGACAGGGGCTCTGCAGGGCCGCACTCCTGCCTGGGGTGCCGTCCAGCTGTGCAGCTGCCGGCCAGAGGTGGAAGAAACACACCCGCGGACACGCCCCTGCCCTGCGGTTGGGGTCCAGGTGTGACAGTGCGTGTGCGCCAAGCCCGTCAGGCAGCGCTTCCGCTGGCCCCAGAGGGTCTGGGGTGGGGGTAGAGGCAGGGGGGATGGAAACCATCTGAGCCCCCGAGCAAGGAGGAGGACCCCCCTCCCCGGGCATCACTGCCCCTGGTGGGATCGCTGGGCCCCTGGAACAGCCAGCCAACGAGCTGGGCCGGGCAGACAGCCAGGGAGAAGGCGGAGGCCAGGCAGAGGCCTCCGCAGGTGCCTGGTCTGAGGTGGGGGGGGGCCTGGGCACTGGGCTCAGAGCTCCGCCAGCCACACCCCTTCCCTGGGAGATTCCACCGCAGATAAGCGGGGGTGGGGGGTCTGCACCCAGGGAGCAGGCCAGGTGGACAGAGCAAAGGTGCCTGCCCAGACCTGAGGAGTAGGGGGAGAGTATTCTAGAAAGGGCAGGGGTAGTCTGGAAAGGCTTCTGGGAGGCAGGTGAGGAGGGGCAGGTCGGGAGGAGGAAGAGGGGTCAGCTAACCAGAGAGGGGCAAGGAGTCGGGCCCACGTCCCCGCACTGGCCGGCTGGGCGTCCTGCTGGGGGCGTGTGTCGGCAGGTTCGCCCGCCCAGGTGCGTGTGCACGAGTGCGCGGTGCCCAGCGAGCACGTCTGCGTGAACCGCAGGGCGACTGCTGCATCCTGCTGTTTCCTGCCAGGGAGCCGTGGGGGGCGGGGGGCGAGCAGCCTCCCACGGGGTGGGGGGCGGGGGCTGACCGCAGCCACTCCGGGCCCAGCCCTGGGAAGGCCTTGCCTTCCAGAAATGACAAGGCAGAAACGCGGCTGCCGGGAAAGAGGAAGCCTCCCGGGCTCCCCGGCTGGCTGTGCCGCCTCTCCGCTGTCCCCAGGCCACCCTGGCCTGACACGGGGGCCGCTTCTCTGCAAGTGTCAGGCAGACGGCCAGCACCCCACTTCCTTCCTAAAAGTCCCCTCACCCCCGCAGACCCGAGCTGGGCCTGACGTAGGCAGTGGGGAGCCCCGCGCTCCCCCGTCTGGTGTCATCACTGCCCCAGCACCTGCTGCGCGAGGAGGGCAGAGCCGGCGCAGTCGCCTGCCCCCCAGGGAGCCTGCACAGGTGCGCACCGCGCCGCTCAGAGGCTCAGCCTGCAGGTGAGCGCCCTGGGGCCAGGGGGCCGAGCAGGCAGACGTGTGTCTCAGGGCGGGGCGAGGGTGTGGGAGTCTCAGGTTGGCAAGAGGGTGTGGGGGGGTCTCAGGGCGGGGTGAGGGTGTGGGGGTCTCAGTGTGGGGTGAGGGTGTGGGGGTCTCGGAGCTGGTCACGGGATTTGCTGTGGAGCTCAGTGTGGGGTTGAGACTGGGGACGGGGTGTCCTACGTGAGGGCGTCAAGCTCCAGGTCATGGGCTGTGGCTGCTTCGAAAACCTGGACGGCGACTACCCGAGTCTGTCCTCCTGAGCACCCGCAGTCTGAGGCCCCCGCGGGGCCTGGCCACGATTCTGCACCCCACTCCTGGCCTCCACGTCTCAGCCGGTGGACGGAGTCCCCAGGCCAGCGCCAGG